TCGATAGATATACTAGACTAGGAATCCCGTGCGCGACGCACAATCAAGGAACATCTACCGCACAGCTTACCAGAAATCGTTCCATAAAAAACGATGTGCATATATGTATATGATCAGGATGGATAACATCTTATTTCCTTCTAAATAAAACATTCTTCGGAACTTGAGAGCCTGATCCTCGAGTTGCGCAGGGGTACCAAAGACACTAGCTTTGGCTTGTAAGTCGAATCAGCTCTGAAATCCAATGTTCATAGGCTCTGGAGACATATTCATCAAGTAACCGCGGAGATTATCCGTATGATTGGAAATCGGGACGTTAGGGCTCTTAACTTTCTCAGATTCATTTCAAATTCGAATAGAAGACTGTCCCGTAAATTGTCTGCCGATCAATACAATCCAACAAAAATTCTGTGCACAATTAAGAAAGTTGTAGCCTCTCAAAAGCGGCGTTAAATCGTTACATGAAGGACGAAGTACATTGAACGCGCCCCACAAGTCGAAATTAAAGACGTTTCACGTCGAAAGCGAAGGACGAACGTAGCAAGAGAGAGCACGACCTATGCGAGGGGCATGGCATGATCAGGGGAGTTCTCTACAAGTTCAGCGAAGGAAGACGATTGTTCGTGGTTCCGAAGCTGCTGAGGAAATACGTATGTGTCATGGACCACGAAAAGGCAGGACATTTGGGAATAGAGAAGATTATGGAATTGATTCGAGGGGAATATTGGTATATTGGTTTCCGCGCATGAGAGATTAAGTGGAATTCCATCTACAAGCGTGCCTAGATTGTATCTTCAACAAAACGGAGACGGGGGAACAGGATGGAGTCTGCAATCCGATCCGACCCTCCGAAAAGGTTCTCATCGATCATATGGGGCCGTTACCAGCGTCTTTTGGTAATCAGCACCTGATCGTGATGGTCGGTGGGCTCACGAAGTTCGTTATGTTAGAGGCCGTCAGAACAACCTCGACACCAGCGGCGATCTAGTTCTTTCAGAAAATGTTAATGACGTACGGCAAACCCGCAAAGCTAGTATCTGATAGGGGAACAGCTTTCTCGTCGAATGCATTCCGGGAATTCTCGGAACAGAACGGAGTTCGACAACACCCTGATCAGCACTCAGCGCCCGCAGAGCAACGGACAAGTCGAGCGCTAGAGCAAAGAGGTGGCAAGGCTGCTCCGCTCTCTGTGTGAAGACGAACTGGGAAAGGACTGGTCAAGGCATGTTCCAAAAGCAATGATGATGCTCAACAGAGTGACTTCAAGAAGCACCGGGGAATCACCTTTTGAAGTACTGCACGGATAACTTCCGCGAATGAACAATCATTCACAGGAGATCGAAGAAGCGCAGGAGCAAGTCCGGCGACCAGCGAAAGAGCTACAGGACGAAATCATCAAGAAGTTGGAGGAGAGTCAGGATCGATACGCGTACTACTACGATCAGAAGAGAAGATCGAGGAGAGTCAGAATCGATACGCGTATTACTACGATCAGAAGAGAAGACCACACTATCTCCGCTTCTCTGTAGGGGATGTGGTGGCTGTAAGCCGTTTGCCGATTCACAGGGGGCCCATTAGTAATAACTAGGGCCTGGACTTTCAGGCACCGAAAAACCCGGGAAAAGGCAGGCAAAAAAGCACCGAGAATCGGAAAAGTCACTGTAAACGAGGAAAAGGGCACTGAAAATCATCGGAAAGTTTGTGATGCTCGGATAAATGTCGAAATACATACTTATCGAATATACCCCTCATAAGAAAATTTGAGCATTACAATCAGTGATAACATGGTATTTCACATTTTCGGTGGTAAGGCATTACAATCAGCGATAACATGGCATCTCACATTTCCGGTGGTTAGGCCATGTCGACGATCAGGGGGCTTCAGAACGAGAAAAAATTCAGTCTAGGTTATGTCAGGTACATCACCGTTCCATGCGTGAAAACGTCTTGAGGGTATTGGTGGACGAAATTTCTCATGCGTCATGTGCCTGAAAGGTATTCATCCCGGCCAATCGAGACTGCCGGCGGATCATTGGTTCTCCTTATTCGACCGCATGGGCTAGATTGATTTCGGTCCAGTGCTGTTTTCGATGCGGATTCCTCCTTGCAGCTGATGAGAGGCCGCGGTTACTGTTGTTGTCGTTCATCGGAGAATTTAGTTAGACTCAGCATCGACCGACATGGAATCCATAGTGAGTTGGAATGTGGATGGTTATGGGTGGCGAAGTTGTTTCCGGTGGGTGAATGCGCGAGGATTCTACCTCGTGAGAACCGGACGAGCGATAGCTTTCCGTGCAATCACTTTCGTGATGTGGCTTGGTGTGAGCTTGCTTCCAAATCGGACGGTCGTAGAGCGAGGGAGTTGACGCGCAAGGCGCCGACCCGTATGAGAATGACGTCGACATTCTTTGGATGAAAGGATTGATACAGCATTGTTTTACTGATGAAGCAACATCTCATCATAGACCAGCGTTCCCAGATTAGGAACCTTCCGATTACGATGCGACAGACTCGAGGTCCAAAGACATCGTTTTCAGGCAAACTTCATTGTTTAGTCGACCGAATCATTCCACATTCCACATTGGGGGAGCTTCGGAAATGAAGAGTTTCGAGGGAATGTCTAGAGAACCTCGCCTCAATAATCGAGTAGAACTATTGCATCTTGCTAGTTTTCTCTCTATCGAGCTCCATATATAAAATTCTCCTCTCAAAACCCCACGAGAAGCCTAGAATTCACTATTATTCATCAGATTCCGAGCTCGATCGAGGGGTATGTAGAAAAACCGAAATCATGGAGCAACCATGTAGCGCTTCGCGACAGGATCTCGTTCAGAGTGGAATCCCGGAAATTCCCCTTTCGATACAGGAATCAGTTTGCGGCCAGCGTGAATGAGGATCGAGATATAAGACCGCTAAGTGCGACAAGTTATGGCTATTTGGATGACGAAGTACATCGAACAGGTCACCCGAGCCTGGGTAAAGACGTTTTCACGTCAAAACGCGCCCCTCACCCACGCTGACCAATGAAGCGTATTCGGAAAATGAGAGCTCCAGCAAGTCTTCCGTCCTTCCGGTTGCGGTGGCATCGTTGCTTTCGAGATTTTCAGTCATTTTTCTGGTATCTTTCGAGATTCTGCCGCGATCTCTCGGAAGTCCGTGGGCCGAGACTCATACTCAAATCGCGACGACATGGTGGAGCTCAGTGCGGAACCAAATTCTTGCTGAGGAAATTCACGCGCGACAGAGTCTCGGGGATCGATTACAGAGTCCTGAGAAAAGCTTTGGTCCGATACGTAGTCGGAACAGAACAGCAAATGTAGCTCTCTCCGGTTACCAGGTTGAAGTCTTGCCCGAAAAAAAACTGCCAAGCAACATCCGAACTAGACTTTAGGGTGGGAAAGGCAAAATGCCTCGGAAAAACGTAGAAAAGGCAGAATGTCCCAAAAAAAAACGGTGTAAAGAAAAAAGGAGCACTCATGGCATTCTGCTTGAAGTTCCAGGCTCTAGTCATAACCCAAGTCTTGCCTAGGGATACTTATAGACTAGTTCAGCGAGGGGAGGAATATTATACCTGTACTGCGCACTGTTCTCAAATGAGATGGTATCGGGTGCATAACGAGAGAGCAGATGACGCGATGCCGTTTTCCGATCAGCTAGAAGATCGTCAAGAATTCTTTCCGAGTTAGCCTGAGCTCAGAGAGACGGAGATCCCGTCCAACGAAGACACTGCGGAACCCGAGACCGCAGCAGGGGGCAATGAATCTGTCCGGAAGACAGGCGAATCGGAGACACTCGAAACACTAGACGAGATTCTTGAGACAACGGAGCTGAGATTCGGAGCGAATTCCGAGCAACATGAAGAGGGAGCGTCTTTCGGAAAAGTATCCAAGCCCGAAGAAATCGGAGAATCTACACGAGTGAAGGAAAGCTCTATCCAGCCACAGAAGTTGATCGGGATTGTGGATACTTCTTCGTCGTCAGCGTCATCAGGGGAAATCCAGATTCATGCAGACCCAGTGATGTATCCGGACCCGGAACCACGGGGGTCACCGAATGATTTGAATACGGCTATAATGGAGTCCCCGGGAGCGGGATTAGGAAGGGGAAACCCGCCACCTAGGAGAGCGAAGTCGTTCAGGGGTTTATTCGAAGTAGCTGGCGGGGACGCCAGTAGTGTAACGTGGTCGAGCGCAGGTAGGAGAGAAACAAATATGGAGTGCTGGCGGAATGGAGAAGAGACGGCGAGATGCAGTCGGAGCTGGTGGTATAGAATGTCAGTCTGGTGCGCGGTGTGGGATTTCGTCAAATGTTCGACTTGAGATGTCGGGAGGATGTCGCGTCGTCGAGCATGTTTCCGCCAACCTCGAGGAAGATGTCGCATGGCACGTTGGCGAAGAGAGAAAGGGATTCCGTTGGAGACGAGCGCGTCGGCGCGGTCGTAGAGTCTTTTCGATGCCAGACGTCGAGGTGTGTGTATCGTGATCAAGTCAGAACCAAGGAAAAGAACTCACGAGATGTCGGGTCCGTGCGCTGCAAGGCGAGGGACGCCAGGTGCTCGCCATGCATCGCCATTCATCGCCATTCATCGCCATTCAACGCCATTCATCGCCATTCGTCGTTTATCATTCATCGAACATCGTCGATCCACGTGTGGTATTCATCACTCGCCGAGGGTAGGTGTGAACGTCGAGTTGTTACCGACTACTTCAACTACAGTGTTGCAATCCGTGCCATAGAGAACTGTCAGGTAGGTTCTACGAGTCAGCTCGTATATGTGCTCGACCACCTAGGTAGGGGATCGGCAATTCTGGAGTTATCCAAGGATCCGAATGCCATAGGCGCGACGAGCTAGGAATTTTCTCTGTTGTCAGACGGAGAAGTGACCGGGAGATCAGATCGGTAGCGAGGGCCGAATGTAATGAACCGGGAATGTCGCGGCAGCACGTTGGGCGTCAAGCGCGTCTGTACGCTTAGAATATCCGCTTAGAACGCTTAGAATATCCGTGGGGGCAAGTGTCGGCCAAGTCAGTCTGGTAGAAGCGAGCGAAGTCTGCGCACGAGAGCGGTCGAGGCGACCGATCGAGTGCCAGAATTCGTGAAGGAAGAATAAACCGTGACCGTTTCGGCCACTATAACTACTTTCCCCTGCGCTAGCTGATATCCCAGTCAAATCCCCAACCGTAATCTTATAAATGGAGTCTCTTCCACCACGATAGGAAATCACTCGGCCAATTTCATGCAGGAAAAGTATTCTGAATCCAGCATTCGCGTGTCTTCCCGTTCGCCCTTCTCTATATGACTCAACCATTCGTACTGAGATACTTTTCACAGGACCTCTTCCTTAATGAGCCAAGTTTCGCTCGCCAAAACGATCCTTCCCCTATTTTCCGCGTGTTTCTCGAAGCTATATGAAACCACTTCCCTTATCAAGCTCTTCCGCTTGCTCCTCGTAGGCCCCCCTTGAATATTTAGAAGTCGATTTCTATGACAAAATAGTACTTCGTGCCGTTTATTTTTCCGATATCTTCCTGCTCGTATGTTCGAGATTGCACTTGAATTAGAATATACCTCAAAGTGGAACCTCGACTTCCGACCTTGGTCCGTTCCCAGAGACCGTTCGTAAGTCGAAACGGGAGCGAGATTGTCATTACCGATACAGCTTGGAACCGTCCGTGACTAGAATCGATGGTCGTGAGTCGAATTCGTCCCGGCAAAAGCGGTCGCAAGTCGAATCCATGTTCGCAAGTCAAGACGAATTCCTCGCGAAAAAAAGGTCGTAAGTCGAATCGTTCGTAAGTCGAGACGATCGTAAGTCAAGTTTCCACCGTATACGGTAATGTGTTGTTCTGATTAGGGAGGGAAGTCGAATGACCCTCCTCCGAGCATCCGCGGAGGCAGGAAAATAGATTTTCCGATGCTGCTATCGGAAGAGATTCACCATTGCTGGACACTGCCGGCCCCAAATCGCATTCTGGTTTAGCGGAATTTTACTCATCACCACGTACCCTGTAATCCATTCTCAAGACTCGACCCGTTGATCTCGAGGTCTTTAGGGAAGCCTAACTCCTTAACTTGTGGTTCAAGAATGTGCGTCGTCGAAGGAAAAATTGAGTGAAATATCTTCTCTTCATGATTTCCATCATGTCCCGTTGCGCAAAGCAATCTATGCCCTGTGGAACCTCGCCGAGGGGTATAATGAAGATTTCGAGCGGGTCTTCTGAGGATTGGACTCCAATTTTTTGCTTTTTCAAGTGCTTTTCGGCGCTGGAGAAAATTAAGAAGTTTTTCAAACTACTTCTCCGTGGGTTTGCTTGAGAGCTTTCCTGATATATGCCGAGAATCGCTTGGCTCTCCGATTTCTAGCTCAAAGAATTACGGAGTCCAGTCCTGACTCGAAGATGACACCGTGCCAGTGGCGCAGCGCGGCAATGTGGCGTGCGGAGCGATTTTCGAGAATGGCGCCCCTTCTCTCGAATTTCATGCCCGAAATTCAGCGACTCCCCACGAATACTTTTCAGGAATTCTCTAGTTAGAGAAGTCTTGAGAGATCCAACATCCTCTTGCCTCCAGCAGCTGTTCCTGATTTAATTTTTTTGGCGACTCTCTATGAGCTCCTCTGAATTTCCGGAATCATTCTCCACCGAGTGCTGAGGACGTCTTCCCTCTTTCTAACTTCCAACTCACGATTTCAGCTTACACGGGGGCGCACCGCGCCAGCTATCTCCATCAACTTGGTTATGAGCTATGCCGCTGGCGGTCGTGTTCTCGGTCACCCTATCGGAACAAGGAGCTTCTGCTCCACGGTTCCAGGCTCGGGAGACCCGGACGAACCAGTACGTAGGATTAAACAGCATTAATTAATCTATATATATAAAAACGTATGTCTGTCTGTTTGTTTGTCTGTCTGTCTGTCTGTCTGGTGTCACCTATAGACTCGAAAACGGCTGAACCGATCGTCGTGAAAATTTAGGAGCGTGTGCTGGGCGATCCAGCGGTGGTTATAGGGGGGTCAGTTCTCCGATGCGATGAGTCCTTCTACCTTAAAAAATTATTTGAGTGATTTTACCCACGAAAATACGAAATCTCGGAAAAAATTGAAAAATCCGAAATTCGCAAAATTCACGAACGCCTGAACCGATCGCCGTGAAAATTCAGGGGTGGGTTCTCGGGAGTTGTAGAAAAGCGATGAGGGGGTCGTCGTGCCCGTATGATGAGGATGAGCTCTTTTTCCCTTGGAAATTGAGTACCGGGTCCCTCACCGGAAATCGTTCGGCGGGAGTTTCCAGAGTTCTCCAGAATTTTCGTGATTCCTTCACATCTATCTATCTATATATATAAAAACGTATGTCTGTCTGTCTGTCTGTATGTCCGGGGTACCCTATAGACTCGAAAACGGCCGAACCGATCGTCGTGAAAATTTGTGAGCGTGTTCTGTGGGATCCAGCGGTGGTTATAGGGGGGTCAGCTCTCCGATGCGATGAGTCCTTCTACCTTAAAAAAATTATTTGAGTGCTCCACCCACGAAAATACGAAAACTCGGAAAAAAATTGAAAAATCTGGAATTCGCAAAATTCACTAACGCCTGAACCGATCGCCGCAAAAATTCAGGGGTGGGTTCCCGGGAGCTTCAGGAAGGTCATCTGAGGGTCGTCGTTCTCATGTTATGGGTCCTCCCCGCATAAAAAAATGATTTGAGTGGTCCTCTAACCGAGAATCAAAGATTTCATAAAGGGGAAGGCGGGAATTCGCAGGATTTTTCAAGGGCTGGACCATCATGGGGGGGCGGATTCTCGAGGGCTCCTAAGAAGGCTATCAAGGATTGCCGTCACCATTGGCCTCTGTCTTTTTACCAATGAATCTCGCTGAAAATCGCTGTAGCCGTGAAGGGTATCGATTTTCCGGAGGACATACATATCTAATAAAAGCGGGGGCACGGGGAGGCGGGGAAACGGGAAAGTGGGGAACTGGGATAGCGGGGAACCAGGAAAGCGGAGCACGGCGGAGCATGGAGAACCAATGAATTCCCTGGACTAATGACACGAATGTCAACTAACCGAGTGCTTTCATACCCGTGATAATTAGTTTTAACTAACTATACGTCTCAGAATGTTAGTAAACAATGCGCGTCATCTTCTTCCTTGAGACATA